TTAGAACTGGTGCCCATATGGGATCCTGGTGCGTTCAAGGCAAGGACTTTAGCCTCTAGGCCACGCCACCAGGCCCAAAATACCTATTTCTAACTCAAAGGTTAGTTCAGTCTACTGACAGATGACCACGGGCAAGTGATTTATCTAGGATGCTGACTTAGTCCATTCAGACAATTATAACAAAAATATGTTGGGGTAGGTTTTAAACAACAAATTGATTGCACACAATTCTGAGGACTGAGACATCCGGATCAAGGTACCTGCACATCTGTTGTCTGGGGAAGGCCTGTCACAAACAGTGCTTTCTCTGTGTCCTCATGCGGTGGGCAACGTAAGCAGGTCTCCTGGGCCTCTTCCTAAGGGTGCAAATCGCTCATGAAGGCACCATCCTCATTACACCATCACTTTTCACAGGCCCTTAGTATTGTCATATTAGGTGACAAAAGTCAACATGTGAACTGGGGGAAACAAACCATTCAGACCCAAGAAAGCTCCAAACCAACTCAATTCCAATCTTTGAATCACATGGATCAGGTAGTACCCTCATGGACATTTTGGCATATGATCAGTTATTCCCCAAGAGAAGAGGTCTAAATCCAGTGTTTGAAGGAAGTGCTCATGGAAATCTCTCCAGAAAACTCAGGACAGACACTTGGTTCAGCAGTTAAGATGCTACTCAGGACTTGAGTATGCCTTGTTGGAGTACCTTGGTTGTAATACCTGAAACACTCTATTCCAGAGTCCAGATGTCTTCCCTGGGCAGCAGCAAGTGGTAGCTCCGGAATCTTGGTCCCTGCCACCTGCTTGAGAGCTCTACTTGAACTCCTAGCTTTGGTCTAGCTCAATGCCCACCTTTGCAGCCTTTGGGGAAGTGAACCAGTAGGTGGAAGATATATTACTTCTTAAATGTCCCACATCCTAATAATATCACTTTGAGAATTACAATTTTAATATGGGAATCCTAGGGGAACAGATATTCAGACCATAAAAACTACAGAGTTGAAAAAATGTGCATCATCCGTCAAAAAAGATAAACTACTAATAATGCAACATTATAGATAAATATTTAAAGCTTTTGGCTAACTGAAAGGTGAAAACTGAAGACTATACACTTAATTATTCCATTTGTGTAAAATTCTAAAAAAGGTAAAATGGTAGTCATAGAAAGAAAATCATTGGTTGTCAAGATCTGGAGTCAGAAGGGAAGGTGGAAGATATAAAGGGTACTGAGAATCTTTTGGGGTGATTGAAAGTTGGGGATCTCACCCTAGACATGTGTAAAAACTTCATTTTTCATTAAAAGTTAGAAAAAATTAGGTTATACATTAATAAAACTGATTAAAAATACAAATACATTGATATGTTTGTCCAAAGGAATGTTAAGCTTGTCATTTTGTATTGCTATAAAACCTATCTGGTCTCTGCCTTCAAGCAGGTTATCCTTTGATATACAAAATCAATGAATTAGAAGAGTTTTTAAAAAAAATACAGGAGATTGTGGACCAGTGAGTTAAGCTTCCACTTGGGGCTGCCAGGATCCCACATTGGAGTACCTGTTTTGAGTCTGACTGCACTATCTGCAATCCAGCTTTCTGCTGATGCTGAGAGATAGTATTGATACCAAGTACCATAGTGCCTGACACTCCCGTGGGAGACCTGGATGGAATTCTTGACTCCTGACTTCCGCCTAGACCAGTTCTAGCTGTAAACTAGTGCTTAGGAGATCTCTGTCTCTCTTTCTGCCCTTCATATAAATCTTTTTCTAAAATACTACATGTTCATTTTCTTTAGCTTCTAATTGAAATTTAGAATATTTTGAATGCAGGTAAGACATGAAAGGAGTACCAGCAATATCTGTGACATTGTCAGCATAAAAATCTCAGATATTTTCATATTACTTGTTATGAAATGTCAGTTATCCCCATCTCGAAATTACAATACATTGCCACTTGATCTTGTAGTTTCATATTCATAAGGAAAAAAAAGTCACACTTTTTTGTCATAGTAATTTTGGGTGTTTTTATTACTTTGAATACTGTTTCAACATTATTAGTTTTCTCTGGTAGTCTTGTATTTCATTTCATGAATTTCAAAATTTTATTCTATGAAGTATCTTTTTAGGCACCACCAAAGTACTATAGGGGCTCTGGGACTTAAACAAAGAAGGTTTAAAACATTTTTGCTGCAATTTATTCTGCTCATTGAAACCAAAGTAATATTTCTAAATGTAAATGCAATCATGTCTCTCAAAAGAATTTTAATGATGTTCCTTAATGCCCTTAAGATAAACAGGATAAAATCCAATCATTTTAATATAGTTCATAGTTCCCATCTAATCTGAACCATGTCTTCCTTTCCATCACACTGTTACAGGGCACAGGGGTCCCCAGTTGGATTTTTCCCTCAAGTTCTTATCTCATTGTGAGAAATGAATTCAGAGACAGAGTGCAAGAATGGAAACAGAATTTATTTAAAGTGATAGTGCAGCTTTTCTTCGTGAAAAGAGAGGAGGGCTACTCCCACCTAAGTTCTGTTGCCTGTTATTGGTAGGGGGTGTTGTCCCCTTTGAATATAAAAATGAAAGGGAATTTGGACAGGGCTTCCGCACACAGTGATCTTTAGGAAGGTGTCCTGGCATTTCCATGTGGAATGCAACACACACATGATCTATCATGGCATGATGGAAAAACTGTGACTCAGATGCATTATGCAAGGTGGGTATGTTGAGCCTATTGGGCCAGCACAGTGGTTGGAGCTTTGAGATGCAGGGCTGTGGCAAGGAGACGACTACAGGTAGTCTTTTCTTCATTTTCTTTTTCTTTTCTACCTCTGTGCCTTGTCCATGTCAACTCCATTCCTTGGAGTTTTGTAGCCAGGTAGTACTAGCAAGAACCACTTGTTAGGGTTTCTGCAAATTTGTGAGTTAGCTGTTAAGTCATAGATAGTTTGAAGTTAGTCCTCAAGCATGAGTTGACACCTTGGAAATTGTAAGCAAACCCTACAAGTCAGAATTTTGTTTTTGAGTTTTAAAAAAAGCCAGTTATTAAATTCTGTAAGCATAGCACTAGCTCCAACTGCAACCCCAAATTCTACTCCAGGTTCTTATAATGAATCTCTAAAATATCTCCTCATGGTTGTGTTTTTGTTTTTGTGAAAGAAAGATTATTATCTTTTAAATATATATATATAAATTTTATTTTTTATGATGTTTACACAGTTGGGAAAGATTGAGGATTATGGGAAAGTGGGTGAGGCCATTGTTTCTAAATTTTCTTTTTCTTCTTCCTGTATCTGGGAGAAGAGAAGAGATAAAGAGAGAAGCCACACCCAACTTCCCAGCCACCTCAGTACCTATGGATGAATGGCCACCTGATGCTATCCAAAGGTCCCCAGTGTGCAGCATGCTTCAAGAGTTCTGCTTATGTAGTTTGAATAGTTCTGAAGTACTATCTTTCTTGCCACTCTAAGGATGAGAAAATTCTTCCAAGGTCCTTTGGCTGACATAGTTCACATTAGAGTCTCTATTAGCCCAGATATTTACTGTCAGTGCTTGGCTGGAGTAGTTGACCAATTTGTTCTGGTCTCCCTCGTCTGCTGTGGCACCAGATGTCCTCTGCAGGCCTCAGTGGACTGTGGCATCCTCCATGTGCACCTGGGTATCCATCCACTACTCCAGCTAAGCCACTGAAGAGACCCAGTTATGACTCATGCATTCTTTGGTCAGACCACAGATCCTGTGATTCTTCCCACGGTTGGAGTTCTGAGTCCAGTGGTTCAGTTGTGAGGCTTCCGCATAGAAACCTCATCTGCAGTGATCCACACCTGACTTCTGTGTGTGCTTGGCATACAGGATCCGGCTCAGTCCATCACCGACTTCAGCCTATTCATATACTGGTTGTTGCAATCTCTAGATCGGTTCTGTCTCTTTCATAAACCAACAGATGCTACAAGCCAGCCTAACCCTGCCCACCACACACTCGCATTCATATACACCTGCCCCCAGACCTGACCCACACATATGCTGGAGGCCACCATAACCTGGCCTAGTCTGGGCTGCTCACAGCCTTGATTCTTGTACCACTGTAGACCGAGGTGCAGCCCATCGCCCTTGTTGCATGCCCAGTGAACAGGCCATGTTGGGGCCAGTTAGCCAAGGGCACAGTGTGCCATGTGCTTATGACCTCCCATATGGCTAGGCAGGTGGAGATCCAGGGGCAGTCTCCCACAGGAGATGAAGGATTAGCCAGTGGAGACTCTTTAGTCTAAATTTTAATGTTTCAATTATTTAATTTCTGGTGTTGGTGAATATTTTTCTACTTATATATGATTGATAGTAAACCTAAATTAAATGCCTGAAGAATTTTCAGTTTTTTACTTAGCCTGTTTACACATATAAAAGGTCAGAAATAAAAGGTGGAAATTTCATATCATCTTTGAATTTCACTTTTCCATGAATTTTTAAGTACTTTCATAAAGGGTTGTGGTTGCAGACAGGAACTATCCAAGAAGGACGTAGATTGCCTCCTTATTCAGGCAGATTCTTCTAGAAATTCTACTTCATCATTGTATTTTTTATTCTCATTTTCTGTTACATTCAAAGGGCCAGAAAATACTTTAAAATAGGAGGAAAATGCAATAAAAGGAATATAGAGATCTTTTGGAACTTCTAGGTTTTTGTGAAATCTATAAAAAATTATATAAATTCCCTATTGATGAAATTCTGAAACTTGTAGTATTCATGAGTCCTAGCTCTAGAATCATTAACCCTGATATGTGTATCTGTACAGTTCGTTTAAATAGAGTTTTTAAGGCAAATATAAACAAGGGATAGTTATATTTTCTTTTAGTCACTCTAACTTCATAACAGATTTGAACTAGTCATCAGTAATTTTAAAGAATATGTTACTTATATGCTCATTATCTAGTTGAATTTCAGTGACTATAAGCAAATTAATCTCTATAAATTTTGTAAAATTTCTTTTACTCTTTTTTTTCCCCAGCTACATTGACAAGCTATTCTGAAAATGTTGAACGCACAAAGTATGTTGGGGAAAGCAGTAAAGAACTGGGATCTGGAGGAAACCTAAAACCGTGGCAGTCTCAAAAATCCAGCATGGACTCCTGTTTGTATCGAGTAGATGAAAATATGACTGCTTCCACCTATAGTCTGAATAAAATCCCAGAGAGGAATTTGGAAACAGTGTTATCTCAATCAGTGCAGTCTATACCTTTGTATCTTATGCCAAGGCCGAATTCAGTAGCAGGTAAGTTGTTTTGTTTTGTCTTTACTGGGGTATATATTGAAATGAAAGCAAATCTAGTTCTAACATTATTTAAGTTTTTCACTCATCATTTTTGACTCAGCTATCCTTTTGTTTGGGAAATATACCTATCCGTATTTTTTTTTTAAAACTGTAGGTCCACATTCCCCAAATGGTTGTTTAGGACTTCTAAAAATATACAGAAGCATGTCATACATCATCAAATCAGAAACAGGGCCTGTGAAATAGCCTAAATGACTAAAATCTTTTTCCTCACATCATGAGTGTTTCAAAAGATTTTAGTTTGAGGTTTTAGATTTTTTAAAAGCCATTATTAAATAGAAATATATTTCACTAGAATTTATGTTACTAAAGCCATCATCCATAGTTGAAGAGTGGATGTCAGACTGCAGTTAAGCTCCCTTTCCCGTGGGCTCAGTGTTGTCACAGTCTCTTGACCAGCTCGTGAGAGAATTGGTCAAGTTGCTGCGTTTCTAAAGAATGCAGGGATGAGCATTTGGCTGAGCAGTTGAGACACCAGCATCCCACATCCAACTGCTTGGATTCCAGTTCCCAGTTCACTTCCAGGCTCCTTGGTGAGTGACTTGCTACCCTCATCGGTTACCTGGATTGAGCTCTAGGCTCCTAGTTCTGGTCTGGCTCAGCCCTGGCTGTGATAGGCATGTTGGGAATGAACCAGCAAATAGAAAATTCTCCCTTTCTTTCTCTCTCTCTCTAATGCTGCTTTTCAAATGAATAAAAGTGAATAAAAAGAATGCTTCAAATACACACTGGCAAACTCAGTAATAATCATACAGAAGACCAAGTGGCTAAAATATTCACTCAGTATTCTTGAACATTTTCTCTTCTAATGATGTCGAGGGATACTTTTAATACAGCTATGTTACTATTTAGTCATTGAAACCAGAATTCTCTGCAGAAATGGACCTTCTGACAATTTTGAGATATGTTGTCATCTGGACTTTGTTCACACTGCAAAATGACAATTGTATTTCCATTTCTTAACTCTTGATGAATTCAAACCTAAATAGACCAATTAACTAGAACAGAGATTGAATTAGTAATAAAGATTCATCCAACAAAGAAAAAGTATGGGACTGGACCTCTTCATTGCTGAGTTCTAATAAACCTTTCAAAAAGAGCTAACTCCAATTCTTTGGAAACTATTCAAAACAATGGAAAGGAAGGTGGTTCTCCCAAATTCCTTCTATGAGGCCAACATTACCATAATTCCTAAACCAGAGAAAGATACAAAAGAAAAAGAGAACTATCCCTGATCAATGTACATGTAAAAATCTTCAATAAGATACTAGCCAATTGAATCCAAGAACACATCAGAAAGATTATTTGCCCAGTCCAGGTGGGATTTATCACTGGTATGCAAGGATGGTTCAACATATGCCAATCAGTAAATGTGAAACAACAAGCTGAAGAATAAAAACCTTATGATCGTAACAATAGATGCAGAGAAAGCCTTCAATAAAATTCAACATCCCTTCATACTGAACAAATTAGGCATAGAAGGATCACCCCTCAACACAATCAGAGCAGACAAAAAAAAGAAATCGAAGAAAGACAAATTGGAAAAAAGGAAGTCAAATTATCTATTTACAGATGACATGATTCTCCATGTAGGGAACCAAAAGACTACTAAGAGACTATTAAAACTCTTTAGAAAGTTTGGCAAGCTCATGGGATACAAAATCAGTGCACATAAATCAATGGCCTTGTTATACCTAAACAATTCTGTGACTGATAAAGAACTTGCATCTCAGGGTTTAAACCTGCCAGCAGACCCTGAGGTCACCAAGGGTATTCTTTGGCAGTAAGAACCACAGGAGGCATGCTGGTGAGGAATGTGTGCTTTATTACACACAGGTTACAGCTTTTAAAGGATAAAGAAGACAGGGCAAGAGGGCATCTTCTGGCAGACACCACTCCTTCACCCACCACAGACACTGTAATTGGCTATACCACATGTCTATTTTCCTTGACCTTCTGGTCAGTCAGAGGTCTTGTTCCAGGTGTAGGCCTGGGAGTTGTGCCTCAGGCCATGGGCTTGTAAACTCTAAGCCACTCCTGCCAGGTAGCAGGGCAGGGCCCTGGGACAATTGCCCACATATCATCCCTCTGCTTTTGGAGCAAATTCTACCACAAAGACTTCCTCCAAAAAGGTAGCCATTAAGTCCTGTGGTTTTAAATGTTGGTACAGACATTTGAGGGCAAGATTTAACATAAGAACATCACCTTAGTTATAGCATCACATTGCAGGCAGAACGCCTATCACAACAATGTTAGATGTCCTTGATGTTAAGTCCAATTTCTGTTGAAAAGATAGTATGGCGGACCTATAAGTAATTGACCTAATTTCGAGTTCCAAGGGCACACAGGTGGCCAGCATGGTTATGTTAATCACAGTTCTTACTGTCTGGATGGTTTGAGTCAAGAACAGCATAGGCATTGCAGCAGGAACCACTGTGGTCACAAGGGAGACAGCAACAGAGATAATAACAGATGAACATTGCATCCAGTGTAGAATGGAAGACAGGATCCTGTCGTATGTTTGCTTTCAGGGTCCCTTCCATTCATCACTCAGCCGGGCTGGAATCCAAGGCATAGGCATTGTTCTTGTCACAAAGATTTCAAAAGACATATTAAGCCACATGTAATTAAATAACATAAGTGATGAGATGCAAAACGAAAACATCACTACCATTGGTAAAGGCTATACAATTTCAAGTGCACATGTGGCCACTTCAAAACATGTATGGGGCCACAGAGCCACACATTGTGGAAATTGAAAGCTAATTTCACCAGGGGCCAGAGACCCTAACTGCCTATTACCCCATATGGCTCCTCACATCCCCCAGGAGAATGGACCCTACTGCCAGGGACACAGGATGATGACCGCCCTGTCTGCTTCATGCTGAAAAGGGGCATTGAAAGGCCAGAAGCAGCAGCAAGGCATTCTCCAGAGGCCGATCTAGAGCACCCTGATAGAAGTTATCGGTGTCTGAAGTATTGATTGGAGCTTGGAGGCATCTCTTTGTTGAAGTTTGAGTGTTAAAATGCTAAGACCATTCTGTATCTAATCAGGAAACAGGTAAAAATGTTAGATTCTGTATAACAAAATGCTTGTTATAAAGACTGGTTTGAATCATACAGTAGCTGGCAAAATATCTAAAACTAGTGATTCACAATAATCCAGCAGTTTATAGTATTCTGGTGAGATTTTACTTACCTTTATACATTTTGGGTAGAGACAAGCAATTAATATATTGATAATCAGGGAACAGGAGAATCTTAAGTAAATGAGCAGAGAAATCAGTAAGTTAACAAATGAGGAAGACATGAACTCTGCATCAGAGCAGTGGGATGTCCTGCCTCTGTGAGTCTAGCAAAAAAAATCTTAAAGGGAGGTTGGCAAATAGCCCTGTCGGGTCCTGGCCAGTGATACAGGCTGAGTCGTAATAGGCCAGCCAACTTTCCTGGAGACTCTAATCTTCTATGTTAGTCTCTATCTCTGTTTTTAATGAGAACAGTGGTGTTTATCTGAGCTAAACTGAGGCTCCTGAGAGACCCTTATGGTCTCTCTAAGAGAAAAGGATACCAAAGCTGGCGCTAAGGACAGAGAACAGACAGCTGTTCTCCCATGTCCAGAAGGAAACTTTGTAACTTTCCCTTCACCATGAGAACCACCCAGGGCTCCTGGGTGCTGGTCTGGTGTGGCACCCGAGTCTGGAGAATTCTGGGCTGCTTCAGTCCTGGGTGGGAGATAGTGGCTGACCCCCAAGTCCTCCGCCTTCAGGGCAGTCAAATCTCTAGTAATTTCGTTAGCAGTTGGAACACCGTCATGGATGTCCTTGACAACCCTTGGAGAAGTCTGCTGCTTCTACAGCGAAAAGCTCATGGGAGGCTTTCAAGGGTCTCACTGGGACAAGGATTACAAACCTCCCCTTATCCTCCTGCTCTACTAAGAGATCCCCTCCGGTCTATGATAAAAGACCACGTGACCACCTTTAAGAGATTGTCACAGAGCTCAAAGGTCCCACTGTAAGTCTCTACAGTTTTTTTCTTAATGTCCAGAGCAGTTAAGAATCTGTCACTTATAAATCACCTGTTTCTCACAGAGTTAGGATCTAACCGAGGATCTTTCTCAAACATCCTAAAGTGGGAGATTTCTCTGTGGTTCTAACCTATTAAAAATGTATTTAATTCAGGAAGTCAGGGAGAGTTACTGTGCCTGATCTACCAACCCCTTAACATACCCCATGTCACTCGGTGTTGGGAGGGGTTGGCCTCCTCTTCTTCCATTGTCTCATTGACGGGAGAGGGTATTCCAAGCCAGATTCTGATATTGTCTTGTTGGGGAGGCATTCTCTGGTAGGGGCGTCCAGGGCTTGACCTTATGAGCAGGCACCCGCAAAGATTGCCTTCTGCAAAAACATAAGCAAACCCTCTTCCCAGAGATAGTAAGGGGTGGGGCCTTCCCACCTTTACAGGTAGCAGGACAGGGGTCTGGGTAATAAATCGTTTTAAAAGAAAGAACTAAAAATGTTGTATATGAAAAATAAGCCCAAAAGAATTAGTGTTATAAGAAAAACCCATTGGGTTCTTTCCTCAGCTTAATATAGAAACAAAAAGTCAGGAACCGGTTGCAGACAGAAATGTTTATTTGTAAAGGGACCAGGTGAGCAGGGAAAGAAGAGGGAAGACAAAACCACCTCCCAAGAGAAAGCCAGGAGGTGGGGTGCCTCTCAAAAGGAGAGAGGGAGAGACACCAAAGGTTTGAGGAAGGGCCTTGGGCTTTTAAGCCTTCCCTGACCCCTCCTTGTTGGGCAGGAACCTACAGGTAAGATGTTCCCCAATGGTGGTCTCTTAACCAGTTAGGAATTGGGTGGGCAATGCCGCCCACCTGAAGGTGTGGCCAAGACCTCAGCAGAGCTTGATGGTCTCATTAGAGATGGATGTTTGGCATAGGGGTACTTAATGAGCACCGCTGGAGTTGCCCACATCCCATTCCTCAAAGATGGAATTCAGGCCTACCTCTTGGTTCCATTCCAGGTTCCCGTACACAACTGGAGGCATGAACCATGGTTGAAGTAGTTGCACCCCTCCCACCTTGTGGGAGATCTGGATTGGTCTGTTGTGGACATTTGGGGAATGAACCAATAGAGAGATCTTTCTCTTTTTCTCTCTCCCTGTCCTTTTCTCTCTTTCCCACTTCCCTCCATTCCTCTATCTTCCCCTTCCTCATCTTCTGCCTCATCTTCCTCTTCTTCTCCTACTCTCTCCTTCTCCCTCTCCCTCACTCCCCCAATTCTCCCACCTCTCCCACTCTCTCTCCCTCTCCATGTGTGTGCATATGCATAACTGCCTTTCAGAAAAATTAAGTTGACAGTTTATTAATAAATCATATCAAAATTAAATTTGTTTAGCTTTAAAAACAAGGATGACCTTATTGACCTTCAACTGAAGATACCTGGCTGAATGATTCACTTTAGACATGTCAATTCATAGGTTTAGACTGAGTTGATTCAATTAAATCAAGTCTAGCCAATTTTTTATTTAAAGACCAGCTAGTAGATATTTTTGACTTTGCAGGCCATAGGGCTTCTATTGCAGGACTTAATTCTGTTGTAAGTGAATACTCAAGTCAGTAGGCATGGCTCTGTTCAAATGAAGCTATTAACAAAAAGAGGCTACAGGCCAAGTTTTGTATACAAGTTGTCGTTACCACCTCTAGGCTAGATGATCTTTAAGATTCCATTCACGTTTGCCTTCTGTGATCCTGCTTGGTTGGCACGGCACATATCTGAAAGGAATTGCTTCTCAGACATGTTCAGTGGCATACCAGCTGGGAGCCCGGCAGGAAACGGAAATCACAGTTATTTTAAAAGGGAATTTGATAATAAAATAACCATTAACTAGGTTTTGAAGAAATGGAAAAGTAAAAAGAGAAATGTCCAATGACAAGGGATTTAGCAACTCCAGGAAATAACTACTCTGTGCGGCTGAGGGAGTAGAAGTCAGGGTTGTTAAGCTCACCGCTTGGAGAAAAGCCCCCATACACTGAAACTCAAATCTGTGAAGGGAAGAGACCCAGATGGGCTGGCAACACTGTCTCTGAACCCCAAGGAGGGCTCAGTGGAGACCCAACTCAGACTTCTGAGGACAAAGCACTGGCCGTGGTCCTGGTGCCTCCTCCTCCTAGGGGGCCAGATGAGGACAGGTCAGCCTCTTTTGTCAAAACTACAACTGTGCTATGCTGTGGTTCCAGTGAACCACCAATGCTCAGCTGCGCAAGTAAGACTGGAACAACACCGACAGGAGCAGGAAACCAACCAGGAAGAGAAAATCCACCCGCCAAACTCTCTCCTCGTGTCCTTTATTGGCAAGGCTAACAAGGAGTCGGCGAAGAAAATGGAAATGGGAGTTCCAGAGTTCCAGTTCCAGGCCAGCGTCACAAAATAGCATATGGAGTACAAAAGTAGATTTGAACCTAAATCTAGTAGCTTTATAATTTAAAAATTCAGCCTCTACATTTCAGCTTACAAATAATTTAAATAAGCCAACATTGTATTTTAACCGACAAAATGCAAGTGTTTTCATCTAACCGGTCCATATCTAAAATTAATGTGTAATTTCACAAACACACAAAACCAAGGAAGAAACTGTGTTACTGCTATTTTTATCATTTCAGCAACTATGAAGCTGAATTTTATATTTTTAACTTTTTGATCTACTATATATTTTGGGTTTTGTTTTTTTATTTACTTGAAAGCAACAAAATGAGAGAGGTGACAGAGAATCTTCCATCCACTGGTTCAAGAACTAAATGTCTGCAAGAACTAGAATCAGATCAGGCTGAAGAAAGGATCCAGGAACTTCATGCAGGTCTCCGGTGTGGGCAGAAGGAACCCCAGTGCTTGGGCCAGTCCCAGTGCCACCCAGAAAACTGAATCAGACTCAATGCCAGGTGCTCTGATAACAGGGTATGGGCCTCCCTGACAACTGTGGAGCCTCATGCGCCACAGCACCTCTCCCTAAAATCTCCATTCTGTGAAGGCCTGGATCCCAAGTGGTCCTTTACATTTTTGGTAGCTATAGATATTTCAGTATGATTCAAATAAAAGGAAACAGACTTTGAGAAAAGTAAGAGACATTGGATTAAATGTAGGAAAACACTAAATCACAAAGCCAGACTAGAATATCATTTAGAATAGTTTTAGGGTAATAGTTTAAATAAGAGATTAAATAATTGTCTTCTGAATTGTTTTAATTTCAGAATGCATAGATCAATCAAGATTACTTTTTTATTCCTCTGGTACTCGTTTTTTTTTTTTATTTTTAAGGTTTGTTTATTTTTATTGAAAAGGCAGATTTACAAAGAGAAGAGACAGAAAAACAAGCTCTTTAGTCCATTATGTCACTCCCCAAGTATCTGCAACAGCTAGAGCTGTTCAAATCCAAAGCCAGAAGCCATGAGCTTCTTCCAGGTCTCCCATGTGGATGCCAGCTCCCAAGGCTGTAGAGCAGCTGGGACACAAACCGGCACTCATATGGGATCCCGGCGCTTGAAGTGGGAGGATTAGCCAGTTGAGCCTTTGCACTTGTACTCAGCCCTCCTCTGTACTCTCTTACCCTGTCTTGTGTACAGTGGTGGCATTTGGCTTCTCTCTCATGGGTTAAATTTCCTAGATTAATTTTGAAAGCCTAAATCCTTATAGAAATTTTATTTACAATTTGGATACATTCAGTTAGCTCATCTCATAGTTTAGTACAGAAAACATAGATCTTGGGTGGACATGAAACCCCCTGGAACTCTTTATGGTACTTGGTCAAAATGTCAGTAGAACCATTGAACATTTCACAGTTGTGTTATAAAAGCTAGTTCTAACATTTCTAAAATGTCTCTTGAAGCTTTTGAATTGAAGCACCAAAAAACATGCCAATCATTTTATTTCACAGAATGACATTTTGATTTCTCTTTAATCAAATCTAACTTAGAATCATGCATCATATAATGACATTTTGATCAACAATTAACCCACGTAAATGACTGTAATCACTTCAGATTATATCGTAAAATATAGTCACAGCTATTTTTGTGTAAGTATATTCTGTGGTATTCTCAGAGAAGCACAGTTGCCCAACATTGGATTTCTCAGAACATATTCTCATTGTTAATTTACACGTGACTATTTCTCTTTCACTGTAATAAGTCTTGATATTAGCTTATTCCCCTTTTTGACCAAATAACGCTAGTACCTTTCACCTAATTACAAAGTGAGAAATAGGGGCTGACACAGTGGCTCGATAGCTAATCATCCCATTGCAAGTGCCAGGATATCCCACATGGATGCCAGTTCTTGTCCCTCCCAACTGCTCCATTTTCCTTCCAGCTCCTTGGATTTAGCCTGTTAAAGCAGTGGAGGATAGCCCTAAGCCTTGGGATCCTATACCCACATGAAAGAACCAGAAGAAGCTCCTGGCTCCTGGCTTTGGATTTGCTCAGCTCCAGCCATTGTGGCCACTTGAGTAGTGAATCAGTGTATTAAAAATCTTCCTTTATCTCCTCTCCATAAATCTGCTTTCAACTAAAATAAATAAATCATAAAAGAAAAACAGAAAACAAAGTGAGAAATAATTTTCTCTTACATTTTTAATGCAAGTCTGCTAGCTTATTCTTGAAATCGTACTTGTCAGAACTGCCTCTTAACAAATTAATTTAATAAGCATTTTAAGTATTTGTTTTATGCCAACATAATATAATTATTGAGAACAGAATATAAATAAGATGTAGTCCCTGCTCATAAGAAGCCCAGGCTTCTACAGCCTGTGCCCATACTCAGGCACATAAATATCAACAAGTGTGTTATTCTTCTATAATAATGCCATGTGCCAAACTATCCTGAAACTACACCTTCTTAAAGCAATTATGTATATGCATATCTAGTTGATTAAGGGTTTCTTAATCTAGACTTAGTGTAGTTAAACTAGGCTGGGCAATGTGCTACCTGCACATTGTTCTCTCATAGTGAAGAAAAAAAAAAAAACAGAAAGGACAAATTTAATTATACAAGCACATTTTGATTTTTCTTCTTCTTCTTTTTTAATTTGGAAAACAAAGGCAGCAAAACCAAGAGAGATCTTCCAATGGCTGGTTCACTATGCAGATGCCCCCAAGCGCTGGGGCTGGGCCAGACCAAATTTTGGAATCAGGAACTCTTTCTATGTCTCCATTATTGATAGCACAAAACCAAGTGCTTGAGCCATCATCTGCTGCCCCTCAGGGTGCACATTAGCCAGAAACTGGAATTGGAAGCAGAGCCAGCACTCAAACCCCATTTACCTTGCTGTAAAATGTGGACATGGCGAATAATGCCCTCCAGGCTGAACTAAGCAGCTTGTCCACATGCAGGCATTTAAAGCCCTTCCTTGTAGCACTGTGTCAAATGATCAAACCCAAAGGCAAGACATCTACCACTTGTCTTTTGAATCTCAAGCACTCTTTACTGTTATCTACTGTTTTATGAACTGAGATTATATGTTTATTTCGTTTGCTTAAGAAATCACTTGGTTTCTAGAAGTCACAAAATGTACATTATTATAGATGTATAAATATAGATGATATAAATATAGACATGTATTTTGTTGTAGAGTTACTCCTGATTCTAAAATCTAAAGTTCGGGAACTATCATCTAGCTGAAAAAACGTTTTCTAAACTTACATATTCTAACTAAACGTTCCTGTCTTGTCAGCCACCAGCTCTGCCCACTTGGAGGACCTGGCTTACCTGGATGAGCAGAGACACACACCCTTGAGAACCTCTCTTCGAATGCCAAGACAGACTATGGGTGGTGCACGCACACAGCAGGATCTAAGAGGTCAGAAGTACGGGAGGGCTGCGCCCAGGAACAAAAAACAAAACAGAAAAAAAAAAGGGCAACAGACAAAAAGGCCCTTTGTTTCTGCTTTGTCAATATATTCAAGCCTCCGTTGTAGCTTGCAGCCAGTTAATCCCATGATACAGTATGCTCATTATGGAAAGGCGTTGTAATTACTAACAGTCAGAAGCACTGATTCCTTCAAATTTCAAAGAAAATAAATGTAAAAGGCTGGTGGTGGTAGTGGAGAAAATAACCTTTGTAAAATCCAATATTTTCTAAGATGACAGTCAACCAGCTGTAGGCCTAGCTATGTTTTTGGTGAATTTTGTAGTTATAATCGTACATTTTGCTAGAGAATTTCATTTTTGTTCTAGTAGCCATTTCCAGTCTCAGGCAGTACCACTAATCCTACCCTGGCAACACCTAAACAATTTATCCTTTTCCCACTTGGCACTGTTACTTTACCTTCTTTGTAGCGTGCTACGTGCTTCTACAAGGAGGAGCTTGATCTTTTCAAAGACTCTAATTTTGTTATAATGACAGTCTGGATGAGGGATTAACATTGGTGTCTCTGTTTGTGCCTCTTGTTTGCTCAAAAAGGTCCAGGCTGTCTCCAGTGTTTTCTCCAGTGCCTACTAGTACCTATTTTCTCTAATACCTGCTACATCACATACATTTTTATATTATTTTATAAATTCTCTGCATCTTTCCTTTGATCTCCTTCCTCCTTGTCCTGTTGCCCTTCCACAGGCAATATAGTGCCACATGCATTAACTCCCTCAAGAAGGAATTTATACATGCCTGGTAACTTCTACATATATTATATAAACAAATTTTCAATGATGACTAACCAAGTAGGAACGTAAAATAGTGGACTGTATTGCTACCATAGTCTCATCAGCAATAGTTAGTTGGTAGCTTTAGTCAAAATTGTAATTCTTATCCTTTGTCCATTCTGGTTACCTTTTCTTAATTTTGCAATATACCAGTTACCTGGTACACAACAGGTATTTGTAGAAAATGGAATTATGCCAAGCATTCCCATAGCTTAGTCCATAGAAAACACTTTAAAAGCCACTGGTTTAAGACTGGTGCAACGACATAACATCCTCTGCCTGCAGCAAGCACCCATTCTGGGTGGTGATCCTTATTCCAGCTGCTCCATTTCCAATCCAGCTCCCATGGCCTAGAAAGCAGCAGAGGATGCCTCAAGTCCTTTGGCCCCTGCATCCATGTGGAAGACCTGGAAGAAGCTCCAGGCTCCCAGCTTTGGACTGGCCCAACTCCAGCCACTGAGGCTGTTCGGGGAATGAACCAATGGATCTCTTTCTTTCCCTTTCTGTCTCTCCCTCCTTCCCTCTCTATTAAAATAAGTATTAAAAAGCAAAACAAGATAAAAAAAAAAAGCACACTGGTTTAAAGATGCCACTGCAATTGAAGATAAGTTTTACGCCTTAATGTATACACAAATGCAAAAAGAAGTGTAATTTGAGACTCAGAAATTGTTTATGGTCATGGTTTAAGAGTACAACATAGTTAATTTAATTATAGTCTGAATGGTTATTTTTACTGCTAAAGCAGAAATTGGTATTGCCTCCTCACTAGACTTTAGATCTTCAAGTAGGGTTATTAACATTTTCTTATTAGTGAGTTAGTGGGTTTTGACCCTTCATGACAGCTGTTTTAAATACTGTGTTATCAAAATGTTCGTTTCCAAAAACCCAGCCTGACAATGGAAAGGATGTTTTCCAGGACCTCAATGCAGCAAGTGAATGGATTTCTAGCTGACAGCCACTGATAAACTTGAGCTATGGAAGGTTTTGTACAATGCAGAGTGTGTGTGAACAGCTAGTGAAAAAATGCATATTACGTTAAAAGCTAGGCATGAATTTCAAAAAATGTTTACACCAAAATGACTTAGTCATTTAGTTCCATTTCTCATAAACTTTTTGAAGAACCTACATAACTGACTAACCTACCTCATGTGATTCCAAGCTTAACATTTTTGGTAGATGCAAATTTGGATTGGTTTGACATTATTAAGGTTTTTAACTCAAGGTTTTGTTTATGCTCAGAATTGTCCATCCGAAACCTCTCATTCATTCTGATCTTATTAATGAAACATCTCATCCCACAGAGAAAGGCAAGAACTAAGGTTTTCACTTAAGAAAAAAGGGAGGTAATTGATTTTTATGGATAATTGTTAATATTGTGACAGAATATAAAAAAGAAACTAATGAGACTTGAATTTACAAAATAGAGGCCGGCCGGTATTGGGATACAACATAGGCATTCCACATGGGGAATGGTTGATGTTTTGTGTGCTCCACTGCCAATCTACCCCCTTGGTAGACAATGGCCCAAGTCAGTAGGCACCTGCCACCCATTAGGGAGACCCAGACTGAGTTCTAGGCTACTGATCATTGCAGACACTTGGGAAGTAACGCAGGGGATAGACCATCTCTTTCTGTTTCTCTTTTTCCCGCCTCACTCTAATTCTGCCTTTAAAATAGAGATGAATAAATATTGTTAAAAATAAAATACACAAAGCAAATTCTAGCATTCTAACTGTAAATGGTTAGCTATTTAGCAGAAATTAACAATAAATTACTAATTTTCAAAGACCCTAATCCATGTGGTATTGAATTATAAAATCATACTATTATGCTTGAAGAGATTACATATAGCTGTGGGTTTTGTTTCTCAGTATATGTTTGTTTTCCTATTAAACTTAATACTAAATCACATTACATAAAAGGCCAATTGGAAGCTTCATGTTTTGTTAATAGCTGTTTTAATTGACCATAGATTGGAGGACATTTATGCAAATGATAGTCTGATTCATTAGCAGAATTTATATGAAATTGACCCTGTCTCAGTTAACCTGGCTTTTCCAATGCAGTGAATTTAATTTTTATCAAATAAAATCAATGCTTCATGCCATTTTTAAGTCCCCTTACTTTAGTGAAACAATGAATCTTTTATGGAGATGACTAAGATGCGTGTCATGAATCTCAATTCTGTTGTATCACCAACTGAGTCACACGTCCCTGAGGTTACTTAGTCATCTTGGTGATGGCTTGGCTGGCTCTCAGATTTACAAGGAAAGTTTTCCATGTCATTGTTCATTGTTTTTTTATAACTACGATTGAATTTCGTGCTTCTTAGAAGGAAAATCCAGAGATCAGGTTGAATATATGAAACTATCTCTTTATGAATATTAGATGGCTAGATTGCAAGTTTGATATGCTCATCCTCAGCTAGGCCTTTTGCAAAGTACTTGAACATTTTACAATTCAGTACTCAAGCTGGATGTCTTTAAATGTCTGCTAGAAAGTAATCAAGGCTTTTTAGAGAAGTCAGGCGATACTTTTTAAAGCAGATCACTGTTTACACTGCCACTCTGAATACACAGATCTAGTTTTTATATAAGAATCTTGCTTATGGGCAGATTATTCCTACTGGTGCAAACAAAATTAAAGTGGGCGAGGGTTGTTTGGGCTTAGATGCAGCATCAACTGGAATCTGGGAGTGGGAGAGGCCTGGGAGGGAAATAGTGGGCTCATCCCTCTTGGGTTACCACTTCCACAGGATGACATAAAACTAAGATAGCGGCTGGGGTGGAATGGGGTGTGGGACAGACTGGATTACTGCTATACTTACTGGCAAACCAGGGTAGGGGGTGGGCCTGGTGGGGGTTATTGTGGGTCGCTCCAACCTAGGCTGCAGCTCCCGCTGGTTTATGTGAGGGCCAAGTATGTGCTGGGCAGAACCAGGCTGGACTGCAACACCCATTGGTTCCAGTGGAAGTCGGGAGTGAAAACAGAACCAACCCAGCAACTGCAACCACCAGCTGATTGGACGGTGCCAGGCCCTGTACTTGTTAGCACATACAAGAAGTTTCTTTGGAGATCTTCCTAATCTAAATGCTGGACTCAGAACCCTAACGAAGAAAAGAGAGAAGACAGAACAGGTCAACCAACCATCTAAGCTATGATGGACTATGTCAATCAGTGGATTTTTCAAAGCCCTCATAGTGCTTGGAGTGGCAAGATTGACAGCGATTCATAACTGTGACAATATCAAAACCACTTGAGCAAGAACCTCAGAGCATGCCCTACATCCGGGACCTGGGGAGGGTGGGAAATTGGGTGGGCCTTCTCCCTTAAATAACCCCCTTTAAACAAGAAGGTAACAATATGGAAAACATACTAGTATTATCCACTTTCCTGTAGCCCTTGAACCTTCTTACCCTAATTAACTATGTAAAGAATGTCAAAATAAAATTCTATAAAAATTAAAAAAAAAAAGAATCTTGCTTAATAAACTACCTTCAAATTTGAGAGCTCCAGTAGTACATGATATACAAAAAGTTCTCCACAAAACCTGCAAGAGAAAAAATAACCTTTAAAATGAGTTGGGCCAGTGTTGCCAGTTAAGCCACTGCCTGTAACACCAGCATCCCATATGGCCACTGATTCAAGACCAGGTTTCTCCACTTCTGACCCAGCTCCCTACTAATGAGCCTTGAAAAGAAGCAGAATATGGCTCACATGGGAGATGTGGATAAAGCTCCTGGTTCCTGGCTTTTGCCCATCCCTACCCTTTACAACCATTTAGAAAGGGAACAAGCAGATGAAAGATACCTCTCTCTCTCCTCCCCTCTCCTTCTCTGTGAGTCTTTAAAATAAAACAAATAAATCTTATTTTTTAAAAGTTTGTAAGCTACATAATCTTCTAATACCTATTACATTAAACCATGTGACTAAAGAATAATAAAGGCAATAGAATCACGTGAAAGAAACTTCATTATGACATCTAACTCTGTGAGATAAGTCACTGACAATATATTTAAATGCCTTAAGTACAATACAGAAAACTATGTTGTGGTACAATGGTTTAGCATTCATAGCAGCCTGTTCAAGTCCCAGCTACTCTGTACATTGGATTCAGCTTCTGACAGTACGCCTGGGAGCTTGCAGGATGATCGCCCGAGT